TCGCTTGCATAGCGTTGCCACTACCGCCGGGCTCGGAAATAAAGCAAGTTTTTGACGAGCTCGCTCTAGACAGCCGCGACGCGGTCCCGGCGGTAGAGATTGATACAAGAGCATTACTGCTCACAATATCACACTAGAACAGCTCCATGTTCCCGGGCTGTTCTGAGCTCATCAAGCTCGTGATTAGGTCACGAATTACCCGAGTCTGTTTTTGCGAGCCCTACTCCTAATCTAATACTGTTCTATCTTACTCAGCTGACCCCCTTCGTCGACGACGTCGAATCGTATTGTATAGGCACCGTCGGTGACGAGAGCCCCTCGGTTTGTAGAGCCGCTCGCCGCACTAATAATGCGGTCGAGTCTAGACATGCAATCCTCAAACGTCGAGTCGGGGCCGGGGCTGAACTGTGGAATCTAGTGGGTGAGCATCCCCCTTAGTACTTCTTATTTGAACGTCCAAAGTCCATTATTCTCGATGCTGTTTGGGCGGGTTACCCTGAATCTACATATATTCTTCACCCTCTTTCTCAGGAGTTCTGTGCGAAGAAGGCCATGATCCTCGCTTTATCGCTATGTCCTCTTCAATGTGGCATCATAAAGATCAGACGACGCCTATTATCCGGCCGGGTCTTTTCGATTGGGATTTGCGGACATTATGCGATTCTAGCTCATTCTTGCGTGGTGAAGTCAGAACTCGGTTCGCGCTGACAAAACGTCGACGGGTATCCATGTAATGTCGGCTCCAAGTAATGCCTGTTTGGGTAGAGGACTTGGTGGATTTTGAGCTTTCATCGTCGATTTTCCGAGTTGCGGAATCCGGGATTAGATCCGCTGGGCTCGGTCCATCAGCCCACATCGACTGCTCGGATGGCCTCATTGTTGAACATCGAGTGACGGGCAAGAGAATACCCCAATTTCGACGACCAGAACTCGCGGAAAGCGAGAGGAGGCAGAGTCCCGGTGAGTTGCGAGATGCGGAAGAATCAGACGGCTAGTCCGTGGAAGCTCGGACCACCCACCACGATGCTCGATGCCATCCGACGTCAGAACCTTTCGAGCTCCTCCTTACATTGTCGAGAGTTTCGACCATGGACGCTCTCCAAGGAACACGGGCTCCTGCGCTGAAAGGAGGCTCCTGGTCTCACTGGAATCTTGCAGCTGTATGACACCCGATGTCGGCGGAAAGTCGGCATGAGGGCCAGGAGCGATACGAAAGATAACTCGAGGGTGAAGCTCGAGGGTTCCTGGGGCTCGGGCTAAGGGTCTGAGAAGGCGTGGTCGGGCGTCCCTACTCAAAGAGCGTCTAACCTGCCCTTGTTTCATGGAATTCAGATGCGCAGCTCGGAAGATTTCTCACGATAGTGAGAGCTCCCACTACCCCGACTTCGATTTCGTTTTCGAATACCCTGAAGTAGGCTGTCTGTGGATCGGATGTCTGTGGATTCATGGCCCCCTCCCGAAAATAAGAGCGGAATGCTCGCTCAGGAGATCTATATTGCTTGTTATCCCCGGACAGCTTCGGTGTCCGGGAAATCCATCAGGAGCAGTCCATCTTCAAGCGGTAAACAGATGACAGTACTAAGGATTCGATCTCTATGATCGTGGTTCCCTAGGTGTCTTTTCCGCGACCTCCCATGAATTTCATCAATGGAACGCACGAAGACGCGGTGCATCCCTTCGAGCACGAGGGGATTTGTGGGGAACGAACGATCTGACTCCCGAAATGAAGAGATCAGTAGCCTGTCGAAAATTTATTTCCAGCCTCTTTTATAAGACATGATTTTTGTTCGACCATTTGACGACATAATACATCTCGCCTCTCCTACGCAAAGAGCAAGCTCAACAAACTTCGAGAATCAATAGGGATTTTCTTCCCTTCTGACTTTCAATGATGTCAGTCGGTGGATATTTTGGAGAACCAATTCTCTCTTCACATCGGCTTGTTGAGCCAGCGAGTTTTTGCGCGCTCTTGGCACCCTGGAACAGACGGTGGGTACGCCTCAACAAAGAATCTCAATTTCAGCTGGGTCATCATCATCATACAATCCGCTTATTGCTGCTCCGAAACCCCAATTGCTCGCATAATACTTCATCGTGTTTCTGGAGTTGGCGTTCCACTGTCCGTTAGTTTAGCGTCCGTAAGGACCGTTTCGAACTATGATCTACTATGCTTGACACGTGCCACGATTCTTACAGCCGAGCACGTCGGTATCATCTCGTGCGAATATCTCTCTCTCTCTCCGTCAATCGACGTTTCAACTCCTCCGATCGGATCTGAGCCCGTTTCCCAATTGAAATAACTAACCATTCCATTTATCAGCCCTTCGCTCGGTTCACTGCGGGATATTTTTTCCTCTCTCGAGGGTTTCGAGAATGGGACGTTCCGAGGAGGAATAATAACACTGATTTATCGCTTTTTGATCATCCCGCTCTCGCTCCTCGGAGTCAAGAGTCAAGATCCGGAAATTTCGCCGTTCCGTATCCGCTGAACGGTACGCACAGTTAATTTTCGACACAGAGAATGAAACTCGGTCAAAATCCCAGGTGAGAAGACGGTGGTTGAATCTTTCGCTTCGCTTAAGACAATACTCTCACCCGCGAAAGCGGCCCACAGAGATCGAGGGTGGTGTTTTTAGAATTTATCGATCATCATTGATGGAAATCGTGAGCTCGACCGAGAATCATTGTCTGGAACTTGTCCCGTGCTTGCTATCCGTGCCAGCAATCGTCTGGGTACCTTCGTCGCATCATCTGTTCTTATATGGATTAAGGGTTTTCAGTGATTATAAGAGTTACATTTCATCATTATTGTTATCATCATCATAATCGTCGGTGATTTACAGTGGAGCAGTTTGACTGCCTTGGCCATTTTAGAAACAGGCATCCCTGGATCTCGATCGGGATATGAGTGGGCGCGAGAGGGGGAGACCGATAATGTGTTCCTAGGATTGACTCATCGATCGGTCTCCAGGAGGACGAATTTCAATTTACCCAATACGAACCCACCCATCGTTAATGTACAAGGTAGAGCGAAATCCCGCCCTTGTTGTTATCTCGTAAGAGTGTAAATATATTATAAGTATCATTATACTGTATATTTTACAACAATATACCCTTTCCGTGATGTTCTCAGGGGTTGGTCTGTATTGACTTATATTATTGCTTTCGGAATCCGTTGCTGCTACTGTGATCGACCACAGTCGAGACTGCGGTGGATCGATCAATGATTCAATCAATCGGTGGGTCGTCTTCAAAATGAGAATGATTCAATCGCATTGGAGTGAATATCTCTCGTCTCCTTTCTGGAGAGACTATCTCCCAGTTCTCGCATTCCTTAAAGCTCATTATGAAGCCAAACAGCAACAGAATCTAAGGATGAACAGGTCCTTCGCCCAGTGGGGGAGAAATGACAGATCAGTTTCAACTGAAAATCTTGGATAAATCATCCATCATCACTCGATGTTCAAAATGAGGTAGAGTGGTTTTTGGGTTTGTTGACGTTCCGTCGACGACCCGTGTAGCTCCGTGATCGTCAACCTGCCTTGCTCCGGTTATATCATCATCATCATCATTATCATCATCATTCTTCCGTCCATCCAATAATCGATATCCATAGTAGAAGTCCTGAGAATTCGCAAGAGCGCGTTTTCTGCAAGAGGCTAGTTGAGGTAGTTTGGTTGTGAGAGCCGCCTGAGCATATCCTGAGGCGCTCCAGCATAACATGCACATCTGATGAAAGCATTTAATGATTGGAATTATTGAGCGAGCTCTGATTGATGAACACGACGAATGCTCGGAGAGCTCATTGGAGCCACGCAGTCGAACTTCGGAAGTTCGAACCTCAGACTACGAGCTATTCATGTTGTTCTTAGCTCGCTCAGTAACGCGTTCTGTTCATTTTTCTCCTGAATGGATAAGCTCATTATCTGTGGGCAATCACCGCATTGCGGGGAGTCTTCCCATCTCCACACCTGCCCTACCGAACGTCAACCATATCGAGAGAAGACGCGGGGAAATCGGTGTTCCAATCAAGACATGGTCCGCGTCCGATAAATTGACAGTGGAGAGCCTTGGCCCGATCGTTGCAGTTTTCCCGCATCATGAAGATTTGGTGATCTTTCATCTCAATTCTCGCGACCATGTTCTTCAACATATGTTTCGCGCTACGGATCGGAGACGCCCTGACGCTCTGGATTACAACGAAAAAAACAACAGCACTTGGAGTGGAGGTAAGACCATTCAATCGTGACAAAAACTCAATAGAGACGGGAGTCCTCTTGGGAGCCGAGAGGCACAGCACGTAAAATGCAATATTTGGCTCATGTTACTCTAAGAGTTCAATCGTCGTCCATGATGCCTTGGGGGAAACGTCAATAGATGGCATTCCAATATTCCGCAGAACCGTTGTAGCGTCCGCCGTTGCTTCGATTTGAGCTAGCCCGCAATCAAATATCGGGTCGGCCGAACGATTCAGAGAGCACCGTGACTGCAAGCGATTGCCATCGGTCGTTCACTTTCACACCGGACCGTTAATTATACCTAGTTTATATGTTTCAACTACGTTCAACAGAGAAGCGTTGTACCCGTCTGCATTTTGATGTGTCGGTGTCCAGTTGCTCGTCATGCTGGCCGAGCGGCGAAATCGGTTCTGGCTGAGAGCGTTACCACTTTGTGGTCCCGCCCAACAGTTTCACGGTTCCCGATTCCTGTATCACCAGATCGGAAAGAGCGTCTGAGATGATCTTCGATACTATCCATCGGAGGCTCGTGGAACTCGTTATTGCTATGCATACCTTTCACATACATACGATAGTCGCTGTGGTCGGCCAGCTTCTCCGGCGCGAAACCTCAGCGGGGATCCCCACATGTATGTGACGTATGTCCCGCACCCTCCTGACGCCGGAGATGATGATAAGAATCATTATTATCATTATTGTTATTATACTAATTGGTATAAGATTGGTTGCTTCTATGCGATAGCCGACTCGTCCAAATAGTGCATTTGTTAATCACCTGATGTATTTTGATCAATTAGTTACTTCGATCAAAAATGTACTCGTCCTCCGCGGTGTTATACACCAAATGCCTTTAGAAGGCCAACCTTTCGGTTAGACGCCCCTGCCTCACTAAGCTACGCTAGCATCTAGCATCATCTACAGTCCCGTTGGCCGCGTGTCAGAAGTTCAGCCAGCGTTCTATTGCTTGTTCTGTGAGAATTTCCGCCAGCCTCCGCTGCAGGCCCAATGTTGTACGAATTTATTGCTTTTCGTGACCCGTTCCCTTCGGTTCGCGTTCACTTTTTGTTCGTCACCGAGGCTCGATTAGCCAAGTGGTTGAGTTTCTCTCATAAGCCACTGCAAAACGGACTCCTTGCCCTCATCTTCGAGTACTTGACCAACCACGAGGCGACATTGTTCATGATAAGTGTTCAGCCACTCAATCTGCAGATCGAAATACAATTAGTTCGAGAAGAATGAACGAAGAACCACGGAGCAACCATGTCGCGAAATTAAATGAAACGCGGGAGTTGCGACCTACCTCAGCTTCAGTCAACATTGTAGGGTTGAGTAATTTCTTCTGAACCGGCACAAGAGTTATCGTCTCAAAAGTCAGGAACTGCTTCTGTTTGAATTGATATTTCGTGTCCGCAAAAACGATCTGCGCGATGTTCTCAAGACGAATCCCGAAGCTGGAGTCTTCGTAATATCCTGGCTCTACGGGGGGGAATAAATCATTCGTACGCTGACTCGTCGAGAATCCCGTCGGATGAAAAGCGTGTCGAGTTCCGCGCGTTCAATCAGATGCTGAACTCACCGATACTGGTGAACATGCCCTCCCTCAATCCCGGATCTTTGGGATTTTCCTTAAAGGAGATGGAAAACGGTCCCTCGTGTACGTTCAGGTACGCCCCGACTCCGTGCCCTGTTCCGTGCATGTAGTCCAACCCGACGTCCCAGAGGCTTTTTCGAGCTAAGGTGTCGATCATGTTGCCCTGAAAGGTGAGAGCGTTGACAGAATGAGTTCCACAGCTCGTGCGTAATACTGGCGATGGTGATAGATTCCGCTCCAGAGATGAGCCATTCCATCGGCTAGTACCTTCGTCAAGCGTGGGAACTTGGTGGTGCTGAGAGCGATGGCTCCTTTGACCACCCGCGTGTAGCACTCTCGTTCTTTATCCGTTGGGACTCCAAAATGGACTGTACGAGTGACGTCAGTCGTCCCATCCCGATACTGACCTCCGGAATCCACCAAATAGATTTCATCGGTGGTGACCGGTCTGCAGAGAGAGAGGGAAAGTCATTAGGAAACATAGGCCACTAATCAATCAGAGAACATGGGACAATCCTACTGTGCTCGAGACTCCGATCATTAGCATTCTGGTGATGATGATACCTGTCCGACTCTCTCGACGGTTTGTAGTGGATCACGGCCGCGTTCGGTCCAGACGCGCTGATGGTAGCGAAGGACAAGCCGACGTAGTCGCTCTGTTGTCGACGTAACGATTCCAATTTGTCTGCTGCTGAGATTTCCGTCACTCCACCTTTCGGGACTTCTTTTTCCATCCAGTCTAGAAATTCTATGAGAGCGACTGCATCCCGAACCTGCGAAGACTTTACTCTTAGACTCATCTTCGATGGTTTCTGAAGAGTCCGAAGAATAATAATCAGTCGAGAAAATTCTCTACCGGTATTGCGGGAATCTTACGTGAGCTTTTTTCATCCCTTCGATCTCGATGGGATTCTTCACGGCTTTTCTCAATTGGATCGGTGATTCCTCCAGGAGCCGCCTCTCTTCGGGAATCGAGGATACGATGCCGTATGATGAGCTCGGGGACACCCAAATGCGACCGGACTGTTGTTGCATGAACATCGTCAAAAAGTCCTTAAACATCCTGCAATCGGAAAAAATTATTGTAGTTGCGATTCTCGGAATCAGCCGACGTGAGATAGTGAACGCGGAAAATCCACGCCGATGCTTATTCACGCTGCGAACTCACCAGTAAGGCTGTATATCCACGCTTTCAACCAAGAGAGGATGGATTTGGCTTTGATGCGACTCCAACGATCCGTTGCCACAGTTGGTGTCCATGGAATTTTTGGGCGATTGGTTTTCCGAGAGAGTCAAATGTTTCTCGAGTCCGGCGGTGATTTTATTCTCGTCCACAAAGAGATGGGCAGATTTCATGGTAATCACGGCATACGCGAAGAATACGGGGTTGAATTCGATGTCGCCCCCGCGCAGATTGAAGAGCCCTTCAAGGAATTGATTTTTGCTTTGGAATAATTGTCCTTTGGGAGTAGATTTTTCGAGTAACTCAGAGCAATCAGGTACTAACAGGCAGTCTCGTCTAATGCGGTCACGATCAAGGCTTGCGCATTTTTCTCTTTCATGTCTTGGCGAACATCGGACAATTTCTCCTGCCAGGTTCTACCGGTGTACACGACCGGCAAAACCTCGACAGGAGTCTCTGAAGATGGAGGGCGATCGTCCCAGACCTGAATGAAACAAATCAACGTGAGCCACTTTCGCGGTAATGTTTGCGAGCTTGTTTGCGAGCCCCTGGATCGTCATGCGAGACACTCACACTATCGACGAGATTTTGGGACACGGGCACGAGCTTGTGACCGGCACTACCAAGTTTCCGTGAGAGTTCCGTCCATTTCGAATACGAAATCAGCAGGGAGTCGACCCCCACTTTCCCTTTAGCCGGGAGGACCTTCGAAAGCCACTGGTGTGGTTCTAGAGTCTCAGAGAGACCCTCTTTCATCAGAGTCCACTGCTGGCCGAGCTGCTTCTCCGCCTGACTGTGGTACCGGCCGTCGGTCCATAGTGCGGCATGCTCCTCGGTGATGATGGCCGTTCCGCACGATCCGGTGAAACCACTCAAGAATTCGAGTCGGGCATCGTTCGATGAAATGTACTCATTCTGTGTCAAAGAAATCATTGCTTAGCATCAGGATATGGATTTGCCAAACTCGGCTGCTTCAAGAAAGATTGCGGATACGTCCATGAAACTCACCATGTGAGCGTCCGAATGCGGAATAATGTAGGCGGAGATTCCTTCGGGTTGAACCTTCATCAGAGCGCGAAGTCTCTTGAGCACGGAGACCGAACTCCTCATAGCCATGTCTAGAGGTTCGCAGGGTAGTTCGGAACCTGCCGGTTCGAGCATTCTCCAATTAAACCTCTGCTTCGAAAATACTAGGCCGATAGAAGGGTCAGATCGAGAGCAAATGTTCGAAGTACCAGGGGAACGTTCCGGTGCACCCCTGTTGAGCATAGTCAGATCATCATCAGCCCCTCAGATACGAATGTAATCTGGAGGGTCTGTTCCGCGATTTTCCCACCAAAAAAAATAGGACGGTAGGGTGAGCGATTAATTTCCTTCTTAGTCTCGTACTTCTTTTTATGAGACTAAGTTCCCGAATCTCGGGGAGCTCTCCGACCGGAGAAAGCGCTCGAACGTAATTATGAATGAAGGAGAAAACCTAGACATCGCTCAGCGGGCGACGTCAAAACAAACCGACCATTCGAATTTTAGCATCACGAAGGTACCACAGGTACGTCGAATTCCCGGAAAACTGAGGTATCTGCCCGATTTCGGGGTACGGGTTTCCTGGATTGTCCTCCCGGGGGGAAATGGTATCCCGAATTGGTTCGTAATTCAGCTGAAAGCGCCTTTTTCCCTCCCCTCGCCGCGCACCTTACCCTCGTGGCACTCTTTCGCACCCTGTTTCCCGAGCCTGACACCGCCATTTTGGGTGGGAGCAGTGTTGTCTGCGGCAGTTTCTGGCCGATAATCTCATACCGCTCTGTCGTCTGAGAGGAATGCCGAGGGAACCCCCCCTCCCCAGACACCGAACATTTTGTCGACGAGTTGCGCTGAACTACCTATTCCCCGTGTTCTCCGCCCATCAGGACCAGTAGAGAGTGTAGTGGAATCAGCGACCTGCGCAGACCGGGGCATTCCATCTTGGAAGGCTGACGATCGAAGTAAGCAGAAATCCAAGGATAGCATTTCGAGTTATGAAGTGTCTTCAGGCAGGGACTGACACTGCCTGGATTCCATCGATAATTTAATTTGAATGAGTTTCCTGTCAGAACTGGTATCTTACGGGCGACTCTGTTCAGATCGACCATTGCTCGCATTTGATATCCGAGGTGCGTGCGGGTGACCGATCGCAATTATCCCACAACGGAATCATTCAGAGAAATTCCCACCGGTCCGATCATTGTCATGCACGCATGTGTGTAACAGAGCGATAGGCGTTCCACGAAGAGTTCGGCCGGGCCCTTGTCGTGTCTCATCGATACGTCATCTTGCACAGTAAAGCAACTCCTCTTTCAGAAGCGTCTTCTGAAATTCGTTATGGGCTCGAAGCGGAGCGACTCTGAGGAATCGGATAGCAGCGACGGAACGTCCAATTGGCGGCGTGGGAAAAATAGAACGAAAACAGATAGACGCGCATCCCCTTCCTCGCCGGGGAAGCGGTCGTCGCCGACGAGAAGGCGACAAAGATCTTCATCGATAGAGATCAGGACGACGCCGCCTGGAAGAAGGCGACGAAGATCCTCATCGACGGGGAAGCGGACGTCACCGAGAAGAGGACGTCAAAGATCTTCATCGACGGAGAAGCGGAGAACGCCCCCACGGCATAAAGACTACAAAAGAAATCGATCCCCCGAGGACTACCGCAAGGAGAGGCGCGATCGGTCCAGTAGCACCGGTCGGAAACAGATCCATGAGAAGAGTTCCAAACGCGAGTGTAGCTCGAGTCCCGCGGACAGGAGACGCAGCCGTTCAGCAAGCGAATCGAGAAACCTTTCGAGACGGGGAGGCCATGACCGTGATGGCGGGAAGAAGAAATCTGTGAGCAGAGAGCGGTACCATGAGCCGAGGAAACCTTCCTCCCGGAAAGAGCGGAGGGAGAGGAGCGGCAGCGCGTCGAGCAGTAGCTCATCGGCGCCCGAAAAATCAGGAAAAGATCAACGGGCTGAATACAATGATTATTTGGGGCGGGAAGAGATCAAGAAGAAAGAAGACAGGAAGAAATTGAAAGAGCTCATGAAACAAAACGAAACTCCCGAGCAGAAGCGTGCGAGACGCTTAGCGAAGAAAATAGCCAAAGAACGTCGCCGGAAACAGGAGATGGGTCTCCTGGACGAGGACGCGGCTTTCACGAATCCGGGTTACCCGGGTAGCGATTCTACTCCGCTTCAAACTTTCAAGTGGGTGAAAAAACTCGAGAAGGAAGGATTGAAGGACATCAAAGACGAACAACTCGAAAAATGAATCGCAGAAAACGCGAGGAGCAACGGCAGGAACTTCTGAAGGTTAAAGAGCGACGTCTGGAGAGAGAACGCGAGCGTGCTGAACGAGAACAACTTCTGGAGCTCGAGCAGCGCAAACGCGAAGGGGCGCAGTTCGACGAATGGGCTAAGCAGGAGGATACTTTTCATCTGCAGCAAGCAAAACTGCGCAGTAAAATCCGAATCGAGGAGGGCCGAGCCAAGCCCATTGACTTGTTAGCGAGATACATATCAGCGGAGGAGGAGGATTTCTCTGTTGAAATGATCGAACCGTATCATTATCTGAACGGTCTCACTCTTGACGATTTCGAAGATCTCATCGAGGATATCAATGTGTACATGCGACTCGAGAGTAGAAAAAATCAAGAGTACTGGAACGACATTCGAATCATAGTGGACGAAGAAGTGCGCAAGCTGAATAGATCGGAAAGTGACGAAAACCCTTCGGGTCGCCAAGCCATAAGTTCGGAAGTCAGCAAGGAGATAGTCAACGTGTTCAAAGGCAAAACTCCGAAGCAGCTAGAGGTCATGAAGAGTCAAATCGAGGCGAAGCTGAAGAGCAAAGGTCCCGGTTTGGATGTGACCTACTGGGAGACCCTCCTCTCCAGACTCAGATCGTACATGGCTCACGCTCGACTCCGAGAACGGCACGAGGAGAATCTACGGAAAAAACTCGCGCAACTGAAAGAAGAGCAAGGCGTCGAAATCAAACAAGAAGGTGTCCGCGAAAACGAGCGAATGGAACTCGGTGAGAGCTCTTCGTCAGCAGCAGCAGCAGCGGCGGCTTCGAGTCAAGAGAACGCCACCGTTAGCAGCGCTGACGATGACAACAGTCAGGAAGCTTACGATGAGATCGACCCGCTACAACAAAGCATCACCGAATACGAGCAAGGAAGATATTCGCCAACGTTACTGAAAGCATCCGAGCTCGAATTGGGAACGTTGCTCGTGGACCCTCGAGAAGATGAGCAACGACGGGAAGCTCGGATCAACCTGGCGGGTGAGGGCAAGAGCGAAACTCTCGGCAAAATTGACGAAATATTCGAGCGCGAAGCTCGTAAGGGAATGGACGACAAGGAGGCCCAGTTCAGCGTGGAGCAACTGATCGACGCCCAAACCTATAAATGGAGTGATATGTACAGACCTCGTAAACCTCGTTATTTCAACCGGGTCCACACGGGATTCGAGTGGAACAAGTACAATCAGACCCATTACGACATAGATAACCCCCCGCCGAAAATTGTCCAGGGCTACAAGTTCAACATTTTCTATCCCGATCTCATCGATAAAAATGTCACACCCCAGTACACTCTGACCGCCTGCGCGGACAATCACGATTTTTCTGTTCTCCGTTTCCACGCTGGACCCCCGTACGAGGACATCGCGTTCAAAGTTGTGAATCGAGAGTGGGAATACTCTTACAAGAAGGGCTTCAGATGTCAATTCCATAACGATATTTTCCAACTGTGGTTCCATTTCAAGCGATATCGATACAGAAGATGAATTCGAAGGTGTCATGTATCTCCTTCTACTGACTTGACCACAAATAAAACGATCGGTTATTACATTTTTCGAGAAACGTCGTCATCCATCGGGTTACGTTCGACAGCACATGCTAGACTCGGGGAGGCTTTCGAAACTTCGCTCGCAGACTTCGCTCTTCAAAGTTTGAATTTTCCATGTTTTTTTCTAGGATGGAATCGCGTGGAGAGGAAGGTGTTCGATTCAGGCTGAACTCATCTGAATCGGACGGCCGCGAAACGAAGAAAGAAATCCCCGGAGACGGTCAGCTATCTTGGGACGCTCTCGACAAAGGATCATCAGAATCGTCACAAAGCGACGACGTCGAAAACGGCAGCATATCCTTCTGGGAATATCTTCACGGGGAGTTCCGGAGAGGCTACTACCTCGAGAACGATGAACAACGATATGACGATCGACGCGAGAAGTTTTATATGTTTTTCAAAATACCAAAGGAGTTTGAGAAATTTCAATTTTACGGCTTGGTCCAGTGCATTGACGCATTCCTCTTCGTATTCACACTTCTGCCAGTGAGATTCGTGTTCAGCACGTATGCTGGTCTGACGAACTGGATAAAGGTCGTCTTCCACAAATTGACCAAACATGGCAGTCCCGTGCACAATCGACGCCTACAACCAGCGGAAACTTGTGACTTCATAAAAGGTCTGATAATTATCATCGTGGCCTACTTGACGACGTACATCGACACGTCTGTACTCTATCACATGGTCAAGACGCAGTCCGTGATAAAGTTGTACATATTTTTCAACATGCTCGAAGTGGCAGACCGGCTTTTCAGCAATTTCGGCCAAGACATCATTGACGCTCTCTTCTGGACAGCCACCGAGCCGAAGGTGCGACAAGGAGAGAGGAAAATCAGATTCGGCTTAGCCTTCCATTTCGGCCTCGCGGTCCTGTACGTATTCTGCCATTGTTTCCTCGTGATGCTGCAGGCCGTCGCTCTGAACGTCGCCATAAACTCACAAAATAAGGGCCTCCTCGCCATAATGATGTCGAACAATTTTGTCGAGCTCAAAGGTATGGTTTTCAAAAAATTCGAGAAAAACAACCTTTTCCAAATGTCCTGCAGCGACGTACGAGAGAGATTCCACTACATGGTGCTACTATTCGTCGTTGTCCTTCAGACGATGAAAGAGTACTCGTGGCAGCCCGAACCGTTCTGGGATCTTGTTCCTAGTTGCATCTGGGTGATGCTGTCCGAAATTCTAGTCGACTGGGTGAAACACGCATTCGTGACCCGTTTTAACGAAATCCATTATTCGATGTACTCGGAGTATATCACCTATCTGGCGTATGACGTCGCGTCGAGCAAGCTCAAGAACGCCTACAGCGATCATTCGGACCTGGTCGCACGGCGAATGGCATTCATCCCTTTGCCATTGGGAGCACTTGTGCTTCGCGTCGTTCATGGTAGCGTCGCAATCAAGGGCTACGCCTCGATATGTCTGGCGATCGTCTTCTGGCTAATGCTGTTCTCATGTAAAATCGTCGTCAACATCTTCCTGCTGGGCAGGGCTTGCGTAATCATTGAACGTCACCGGCAAACTCTCCAAGAGAAGAGGCCGGCGCCTCGATTGTGCACTTCATTGCCCTCATCCCGCCGGCAGTCCATGGAAGACCTGAAGCCAGATCTCGTCAAATTGGAGGCAAAGTCCGAACCGCAAAGCGCCAATCCCTCGGTCAGTTCGAGCTTGGCCGATATCAGAGACCAGGCGGAGCTCGCGCAGCAGTCAATGAACGAGGCCCCGATCTTTGCCGAAAGCGCGGTCGATATATCCACTTTGGGAATCAAGGAGGAAGTGCTCGGAGAGGATGTCGATCAACTAAAAGAGAGTCTCTTAGAAATTAAAAATCGCGGAAGATCGATCTCCACAGGAATGTTGCCGGGCTTACCCCTACAAGACAAGAGCGAATTGTGATCTCCCTAAGGTTCGACCTAACGACGAGCAGTGAGAATTCTGCGTTTGAGCAGAGCCGAACGGAAGCTTTGCCCTCAACATGCTCCGGGCTCGTCGTTCTGACTCGGAGCAGGAGTACTAAGAGGCTTTGTAATTACTCGAAACGCCATTATTTATGTAAGTCGTTACCGTAAAAGTTTTTAGCCCAGTGAGAAGAAGGAACCCATGAAGGGAGAGTGATTTGAATCCAACATTGTATATATAGGAGATCCTCATGGTTCCGGGCCGAGATTATTAATTTTTGAAGAAGAAATAAAATAAAAAAATGTTCAATATCGAGTAGAGCGGCAAGTCTTCCGACTTGTATGTTGACAGCGGTGCATTGGTGATCGGGGAGGGATCCAGGAACCACTCGATGACAGTGTCGAGTTCAGAGAGCGATTATTTGTGCCAGGAAGTTACACAGAAACGGCGACCGGCTCAAAAGCTAAGAGACAGACGGTTCACTTCGTTGACTGCCCGCCCGGCTGGCAGGCTGCCTGCCGAGCTGCGGGTCGGCGGGAAAAATCGCACCCGGGATCGCCTATTCGACACAATTGATCGCAAACCGCAGCGAACAGCGCTCGTTTTGCATCGGCAAAAACTCATCTGAACTCAAAGCCGAAGCGCAAAGTCTGCCAGGGAGCCCGTCCGCCAATCAACCAGCAAGCCAACCAACCAACCAGCGAAGCAAGCAACCAATCGTTGAGGTAGGCCTCCGTCTGGAGCCGCGAGCTGAGCGGCCACACCGACCGACAAGCACGCATGCAGGGTCATAACCCTTTGGGCCTCCTTAGGTGTTGCAGTTTTTAACGTCTACAAAAATTCCATTTCTACCCCCGGCACTGTTGCAAAGCCCAACTTTTCCCCCGACTCCCCTCCCTCCCCCCCCGCCTCGACTCGGAAGAGCGACGCGCTCACCCGGGGTGAGCGGGAACGAGAGACAGCGCACAAGTGAGCGGTGTATGACGCAACGAGCGATTGAATGAACTTGCTCCTCTGTGAATTGTCAAAGGCTTCGATCTCTAGCCGAACGACCAGCATTTAAAAACTTTCTCGAAGAAAGCAACCGACCAAGTCGGCGGCGGGTACATGGGCCAGCGAGCAAGCGAACGAGCGAGCGGGCGAGTAGATCCAACGGAGCCATCCCTCACAGCCGCGTCTTCGCGCGAGAGACGAAAATAAACAGCTGTCCTGACCTGTCTCGTTTTGAACAGTTGCTGTACCCGGCTGCTCCTCACTGCGCGCTGCGACTCATTTTCTTCTGCCTACATAGACTCTCGAGGCAGCGTTCTGAAACGACGGCATCTTATCTGTTACGCAGCGCTGCAGGCTGCAGAATAAAAGTTGGCTTCGAACCTCGGTCGAGCTGGCCCGATCGCCAACGGCTTGGCTCGTCTTGACGGAGCACATCGGATAACAACAGCTCTCACTTTGCTCTGTTCTTATGTTGTTTCTCTGTTAGATAAGCTGTGGAAGATAACCGCGGCGAGAGCTCCACATGCTCTCTGTAATCTCGTTTCTTCTCCCACATTCCTTTTCTTTTTCGCTGCTCTTGCTTTTGACGCGGACTAAATCCCCGCTGGCAGCTGAACTTTTGAATCAGGCACAGCATCCACTCCAAAGCATTGGGAACCAAGTCATGGAAAGTTCGGCCGGGCTCTAATTGTTCTTTCTGACGCCTGAGTTCCGACGTCGAAGCAGTCAATAATTCGGAAATCACGGAGAGGATTCTTTCGGTCAAGGTAAGCGAATCTAGATACTATCGGGTATAGCTAATTGCGAGACCAAATTTTTCAGCCGGATCCCCCTAAAAAAGCGGAGTAGACTCTAGAACAGAAGAGTGAAGCAGGGGCGGAGAAGAGTTTCCCGTGGTCGGCATATCGCGCTCGATTGCCGTCCGTCTCAGCAAGACCGCTGGTCCCACCCGCGGTTCGTTCTTCGATTTCGCCAATTCCTAATCCGTCGACTGACTCTTCGGGGACTCAGTTCTTGCTGTCGCCCGTTTCTCCCTGGACGGCTTTCACTCTCCTGTGCCCATTCTCCCTCACAGCTCGCTAATAATCTACGAAATTCCTAAGTCATCCCAGTGGGGGATTAGGCCGGAGGAACAAAGGCTGTCTCGATTGTTGTTCAGTCGACCGATAAAACATCACACTCTTGCTTCGTCACCCTGCCGTCGGGTGGTGAGGAAGTTTTTTCCATCTTGCTCCAGCTTCCATATTCATTCGGACGGAGCTGACCGTTTCTCGAAAGACAGCTCCCCTCTGAAGAGTTCATGATGAAGACCACAATTATTATTAGAGCTCGCTGCAATTTTGAGTAGAAAAAAACAGGCCAATGTTCGGACGTTTTCCTCGGTCGAGGCTCTAGATGTTTGTTAGTCTCGTTCTCCCCCAGAGGAAAACTGAGCTCAGCAGGGAAAGAGAACGAGGCATTCGGAAACGCTAAGAAGTGAATAGGGGAGTGTTAAGGAGCGAGACGGCGTGCTCATACCTCCCCAATATTTCCCCACCCCTAATTCGAAATGACAACCAAACCCCTCGCGAGATTCGAGCTTGACGGTCGGGCAGCAACGTCTTCCTTGCGGCGCATTTTCTTTGAGATTCCTTTTTGAGTTCTCTTTTTTCTCGGTTGTTCCCCGCAGCCGTTCTTTTTCCTCGTCGATTCCCGCTTCGCATTTTCCCGCTCTCAACCCCCTTGCCGCCCCTTCTACCTCGACCCCCTCCAGATCGTTGCGACGATTTTGAGTCAGGCAGGAAGAGAGAAAGAAGAAGTGGGGTTATTGATGTCTTTGGCCGGATTTTAAGAGAGGAAGTTACGTGGAGAATAGGAGAGGGGCACAAAGAGGGCTACCAGCACTACTGCTGCCGAGCAGACAGGGGCCCGAACTCAAGGAGGGACGAGAGGAGACAGGGGCGGCAGGAGGCAACTTCGGAGGCTTTGGATTTAATCTCAAGAACGCTCTGATGCAAAGTTTTTTTCCCTTCTCCAATTGTCGATCACGGGCCAAAAGCGCAGACACGGTCTTTTTTCTCCCATCCGTTTGTTTAGTTTCGTAATGTCACAGGCTTATCAAACTCGAATGAGGAAAAGGAGCGAGGAAGAATCCGATATATCGGAACATGGAAAATAATTCCCTGATTGGAAAAATGCAGATCCTCTGCCGAGTATCTTCCGACGGGACCGGGGTGCAGGAGCGAGAGGTTCTCTGAGAACTCACCTGAGTTGAAGAGCCACCAATTGTCGTCCGGTCGAAGATCTCGAAGCTGGCTGAGAAGAGCTGGTAGTCCTCCGTTCTGTTGTTGTCCTCCGGTATTGTTCGGGCCCGACGAACTCGAAGGTGGACTCCTGTTCTTTGCGCAGGTTGGAAAAACGGGCAGGTTGAACGGCATCAATGCGTTGTTCAGAGCTGTGAATGGGGCAGACGGGTAATCAGTTAGCCCAATCGAAAGCTTCCGAAGAACGATTTCCGATTTCTCTCCGCCTTGTCATCCCGGTATCTGGAAAGTTACCATTTGCGGACGCAGCCCCGTGAGATGACGCGAGATACTTGAGGGTTTCGGTGAACAGAGTGGGCAGATGGCCCAGATGGGCAATGGCTGCGGGAGTTAAAGCTTCTTCCGGTGAGTGGGAACGCCCAGCACCCCCTAACTGTGAAAGCATCTTCAGATCCAGAGGCTGGAAAAGCACGTTTTTCGTTGACATCTCATATGTGCAAGCGGTCAGAGCGTTGATATGGAACAAGGAAAAGGCTCTGAACTCTAGGTCGCGATCGCAATCTAAGGATGCCGTCTGGGTCCAACTGAGACCGTCGTGCCTCTAATCCGCAGTGATTGAGTGCAAAGAAAAAAAGCGTGATAGTTTTCCTCCTGAACGACTCGTGATGTTCCCCTCGAAATGACGCCGGACTCATTCTCCGCGGAAGAAGGACAGTCCATCCTACTCGTGCAGCAAAGCTCTCACGATGCGGGTCCCTTGTAGTTTTTTAGCTCCAACCCTTTCATGACAACCCTCCATAACCTGGCTCGCAATGTAGTGCAAAGCGAGAGATTGAGCGACTCTCTCCAGGAAAGATAACGCCCCTTGATGCGAGCGCTAGCTCAATGTCCGCATGATGGCTTGCTGGCCCGTCGACCGATATTCAAGTCGGTCAACCATGCGAGACTTTTCAGCATGTTCAAAGTGCTTACTGGTCATTCTCTGGTGACGGAGCTTTATTTATAGCTGCTCCGACGCCGCATCCATTTCCTTCCTCTTCAAACTTGTGATGAATGCGAATCCTCCCACGCCCAGAGTATACCTGGCCCACTCAACCCCTCGCGGAAACATGGTAGAAGGATCGTGCGTTTTTGAGGCGGAAGAAATCACACAAGACCGGGATGATCAGGACTTCGTGCTCCTTAATGTGCCCTCGCGGAACCTTGCGGTTATTCTCGACGTCCTATCGAATGAGCCGGGATTCCTTCGTCTTCGCCACTTTTGACTTCGGAGAAATGCGACGGATACGGCTGACGAAGAACGCCAATCGTCGCTCGCGTTTCCAGCAACTGATTGTGAAAAAAGGAAAAAAAGGGGAACGAAAGTAAATTAGAAAAAAAGCCGAATGATCATTTCAAAAAGGAGACTGAACAACATATGGCGGTAAAAGCGAAATTTCGCATGCAGCGAAGCTGTGGGAAATCGATCATGCGACGGATCGTAGGCATATGACCGCGAGTCATAATCATGCCGAGCTAGATTATTCTTTCCCGGACTCGCTTGATCTACCTGCTCGGGTCCAGCAAGTTGTGTGAGTTCCTTGTTGTTGCTACTATTATTCACAGTAGAGTTTGCTCCATTCGCCCCGTTGCCCTGCGGTCCCCCCGGACCTCTCCAGGAGTCCGGCGGATGGTTATGTTTGTTGTTAGCTTTTTTGATCCGCGAGTACACCGTCACCGCACGACCTGGACATTGTCGGTCCCTGGGAGGCAAATCAAATC